ATCATAAACGCTTTTGAAACAAGCTTTAGGGCAACTCCAAAACTCTAACTCTTACACTTGAGGTAATAGTCATGAAGATTACGAGACGATAAAACTTGTACGTGACGCGGGAAATTGGTGGGATTGCCTTTTCTATTAATCAAATGAGACAGAAAGTCTAATTCAAAGACTTTTATTGCTCTGTAGAGACACCAGTCGGTCTGTGAATCGTTAAAAGAGGGATTTGGAAGTTGATCGAGGATAATAATACGGTAGTGGTTATTTAATTCATTCATAGATTCAAATGGAAAACGAGAGCTGAAAACAACGGGAAAACATGACATCCTGCACGTCACCTTTTGTAGCAAAAGAAGAAGGGAAGGGTGGCAATGGAGTAGGGAAATAAGAAAAAATGGTTTCCAAGAGAGAAAAAGAAAAAAAGAAGAGAAAAGGGAATGGGGGGGGGGGGGGGGGGGGGGGGGGGGGGTGGGGGGGGGGGGAAGAAAAATATATGAAATGTTGATACTTCTTACGTAGATGATTTTGAAATAGAAAAAGAAAGGAAGGAAGAAAGAAAGAAAGGAAGAATGAAAGGTTTTATTCGATATGGCACAGCTATGAATTTCAGAGATATCGCAGAGCACTTTTGGCAATGAGGAGCTTGAATCCTCTCGATAAAATCCCTCATAAAAAGGCTTCAAGGGTTAAGAGTGCCTCACAGCATTGACAGGTACTACACTCTTTGTCATCATCATCATCATCATCATCATCACTATCACTCTACCGGGTAAATCCTTCTAGTACTTCTGACATCACTGAGTAAACTGAACGAAAACTACTTAGTAGATTATAATTATGATCAAAATAATATCTAAAACACACACACACAAAAAAAGCTAGTGATAACGAACAAATTCTTCAAGCAGATTAGAAAATCTCAAGCAATCGTATACGTAGAAATATTAAGTTTGGGTAAATTGCACATGTCGAAATGTTACATTTCATATATGGTATTGTTTTGGGCGGGCAAAAGAMAGAAAGAAACAACTGATATTGCACACCCTAGTTAGTAATTGGTAATTTTTTTTTGTCATTTTGAAGACAAAACAATACTGAATCCCACCGATAAACGCGCTAGGAAGGCACAGTAATTAGAAGCAGAAAACAAAGAAAACGTCAGAAAATATCGATACGATCTTAGAAATGCCAAAAAATCGGTAAAAACCTAGAAATAAGAGATTAGATTTTGATCGATCACATATCTAAAGCATTATAAATGAGTATTATTCATAATTGATTCGACTCATAGTAAAAAAGGGGGAAAAAACTGAAATAAAATGAATGGAAGATATAAAAATATATAAGTAGAGTGTTCAACAACGAAAAAACTTATAGAAAGACACCATGAAACAGAAAATTTTACCTTCGACACACATAGAAAACTTATTTGTTTTAATCAAAGTATGACTTTGTTCATGATAATAATGACGGGTCTAGCCTCCTGTCTCCTGCATTCAATGACTTGTAAAAAWGCATATTTGAGGTGAAAAGAAAGGCTCATCCGGCGACACACTTCTTCAAGAAACTTGACTCTATCTGGTTACTTTACAAAGCGACGCTTTCACGCAGTAAAAAAATTAAAAAGACTTCCAAATGAAGTTTAGTACGAATAAATTGAAGAATTAAGAATTTCAAATGTCAAAGACTGACAGGGTTTGATATATTTGATAGTCTTAGGGTGAGTGGGTTCATAAGTGCGTCTACTTAAGCCGCTTATGGCTAAAGACCCTGARATATTACACAAACAAAAAATACCTTAGAAATTGGAAGTTTTAGCTTAAAAGCACGGACCAGAATCGGATTGGCTTTAATAGTAAAGCTATATTAAATATTTTGGCTTCTTTGCATCAAGTAACCGGGTTTTTTCAAAGAGTCTTGGAAACGTTTATTATTTCAAACCGTGGGTTTTCAAATCACAAACTCGAATAATGAAATCTCACCTAAGTGTTTTGAAACAAATTTCACGTCAAAACTGCTCGTTTSACATTTAAGTAATAAAAGCTTCATAAGCAAATCCTTTTTAATGAAGCAGCATTGCCAAAAAAAGCAACAGGTTTTGCGAAAAACTCGCAGAAAATATACCTAATTCAATTTCCTTCAGTGTTTACGACAACTTTTAAATTAAATTCATAGATAATTACATCTTACATTTTCTTGGTTGATATGGTATATAATATTCTATTGTTATGGTTCTTAGAGGCAATAAATCTTGATAAGTCGGCAAAGAAACCTAAAACAATGGCTATTATACGATGTGTGAACTTCATTCCTCGCTAAATAAATATATTCTTGACAAAAAAGAAAAGTCAAAAACACCATGTGTGGTAAATTAAAATTTTCAATTCGACATGACGTACATAACATTATACTAACATTCACCGTTTCTATTTTTTCTATTGTTTTCCAAGAATCTGCAGAATTTTAATCTGAACTACGTAATAAAGTATAAGGTTTCTTTTTATTTAATGACTTTAAGAATTCCGACTTGAGTTGACGTTTTGTAATGACAGTATAAAGTACGATCACTCAATGACAGGGCTCTTCAGTAAAATTTACAAAAAAAAAAAAACACATTACGAAAAATATTTTCTTGCTGAAAATATGAAAAGACTAGAAGACAAAGACATGTTTTAGTTAAAACGAGTAGAATTTCTTGTCGTTGAGGAAAATTTTAAAAGGAAAATAAGAGGATATAATGAAATTAATGTTGCATTCCAGTGTCGCCATCGCAAAGCAACAAAAATTTATCTTCCTTTACGTCAGAGTTTTTCTTAGAAAAAATGTCCTACAAAATTAGTTATAGCASGCAGGCCATTAGCTATGTCATCCGTCAGCAAACAAACTCTCTCASTTTATTTTCAAGCAAAAAAGCACCCTTTGTTAGAAGAAAAAGCATAGCAAACAAGCATTCATCAAGCTTTCTCTCAGGCTTTGTGTTTCGTGTCATTTTAGAATGGTTGTAGGTTGGTGTACTTTGCTAATTGAGTSAAAGTGGATATGGATGGCGGCTAAAAACTGCCTATACGTAAGACGTTGAGCGCTCTAGGAGATCAAGAAATGTTCCTATCAATCCGATAATATCTGAGATTAAAACTATAAAATTCACATAACCTAAGAAAATAGTGAACTTAACTTCAAAATACTAAAATAATTCAATCATTTGAAGAATTTTTTAAAAATAAAAACGTTTATGATACAATTCATTATTTTAAACATTCATTTATTTTGATATAAAACCGAAATTTAATTGGACGAATGGTATAAATAATACAGTAAAATGATGAAGAAGTAATTTATACAGCGAAGTGAAGTGACTAGAAATAAGATATGYAATATAAAGAAGGCAAAAAAGAAGCCAGAAAAATGAAAACATACGAAGATAATTTCAATCGAAGAATTTTTTTGGCATTTTTTTGCAGGTGTTTAGAGTCGGCGAGTTTTGTCAGAAAAAAGGATTGTAAAAATCGCCGAAAATAATCCAGTCTTGACGTGTTTTGTAAATTAGGGCATCATATTTTCCGAAAATGCAGCCAAAACAACACATCAAGTATGTAAAATATGTTTTATAGACAAAGTAAATGAAGTGTTGCTAAAGGGCAAAATCGTATAGTGAAACAATGTTTCCCGCGCGCGTTGACTTGAAAAAGCCAAGTTTGTAGTAGCCAAAAAAATTCAGCACATACAATAGTAAATAGATTCTTTGTAGAGAAGGGAAGTAGCGAACAATTGGTTCTTTCTACAGCASAAAGGTTTCTGTTCTTTTTAAAGATTTGGAATTAACTGTAAGACAATGAACATGGAATGAATGGCGAGAAAGGTTGAGGAAAAGCCAAATGAGTGTTCTTTGATGTTTGCAGAAACTAAACAATGGTGTAAAGAATCTGAACAAATGTTTAGAGATGGACAGTAATAATAGTAYTTTTTCCCTAAACAATAAATTAAGTCTAAGCCACGAGTAAACGATGCCTAGCAAGATGGTGTTAGGCCCGTCTCTTCCTGGGTTTYATTAGATCCAGGAAAAAAATCTTACGGGGGTGTTTGACGATGAGACATCTTAAYAAATGAAATAAGACAGGAACTAAAATCTACGGGGTATCGCTCACAGCTAATGTTTTAAACCATTTCTAAGGCATTCCAATTGTGTGGGTTGAAAAGATTTGTACGAAAGCTCAGAGGGAAGCCCTCAAATGTCGTGTTGAAAATGATGACTAAATCCAAAACTTTTGTCTTCCCTTCGCCTGGATTAATTAAATGAAATCTTCTCTGGTTAAGTCATTAAAAAATCCGAATTAGCAGGTTGATAGAATCATGGTTGGACAATAAACGGACATGTAGGGGAAACTACGAAAAGAGAATTTGGTTTAATGAGAGAAAAAGCCGACGGTTTAGGCTATTAAATGATCATAGAGATAACTTATGGGAATAACTTTTGGATAAATTTAATAAACAACTGACCGGGTGCTTTGTTGAACAAAAGAATCCTTTGTTACTGGGTTAGTGAGAGGAAATCACACAAACGCGTAGCCATTGCATATARAGAATTAAAATGCAGGGATATCAAGAAGTTGTTGCGAGTGCGTCAACCCACAAATTATCCAAACCGGTTTGATTACGATGCGTTGGTAGTTTGAGAGATAGCGGTGTAGTAGGAGTCTTAGGTAATTTGCGCGCAGTATTTTGGAGTGAGTCCTTAAAGAAAACAAGCAAGCGTGCGCGTTTGAGCGCGGATTTTATTGCTTCTTTCAACACGGTTGTTGTGATTATAAAGCGCTGATGTAATGGATCGCTAACAGTGAAGGGAAACCACGGCCTCAACACCTCTAGACCAGCAGAAATGCCTCTCAACTTCAAAACAAAACGAGCTCAGCGGGAGCTTGAACTTTTAGCCGCAGCGTAATAACAAATCAAACTGCGATTTTTAAAAGTTTGTTTTATAATATTAAAAAGACTCTCCCTCTTACCTCGACTGTTATAGAAGCCATACTTGGGATGCTGTCCGGTCCTAGGTCCCTTGCGCTCACTGATAGAACATATCTGGATCCGGAGTCGTTCTCGTAGTCCAACACCGCGTTAGTCCATACTTCACCAGTGCGCTCATCTATCCTGAATAAGCCATGATATTCTGGAAGAGGGTCTAAGGAATACCGGACAATTCCATTTGTACCAATGTCTTTATCCGTAGCTTCCACGCGCACTACAAATGTTCCATTCGGCATATTTTCACGCACTTTCCCAATGTAATTAAATTTGGTAAATTCTGGGCTATGATCATTGGAGTCCAARATAGTAATGTTAAGTATCTTAGTAGCAGATCTTGGAAGCGGGGTTCCACCGTCTACTGCAGCTATGACAAGACGGTAGAAATCTTTGGTCTCGCGATCTAGGCGCTTTACATTCACTAGATACAAGTACATGACATTTGCGCTCGGCTTCAAAAGTTTCAAAGCAAACATCCCGTCTTCGTTACCCGTAATTATTCTATAGCTCTGGATTGAATTATTCCCGATATCAGCATCTGTGGCTGGYACAAGTTGGAATCTCGAGTTCAGAGGAGCAGATTCAGAAATGCGTAGCTCTTCGAAGTCCGTAGGAAATTTTGGGTCATTGTCATTGATATCGATCACTCTTACCTCTGTGGGCAAGACGCCGGTGATGCCCATAGAATCATCGCTGAAAACGATTTGAATCTGAAATACATCTCCTCTTGCAGAAGGCGGTAAATTTTCTCGATTCAATACTTGATTTGTCCTTAAAATTCCGGTTTTCTGATCGATTTTAAAAATAGTCTGTGTTGGATCTTGTATTGCAAAACGAATCTTGAAATTTCCCTTGATCAATCGGTTCGGAGGATCGGTTTGAGAAGCATCTCCTACGAAAGCWTGAGCATTTTGTTCTTCTTTAACCTGGAACTTAATTGTTGTAGTTTTTGCTACACTTAGTTGAAGGAGAGTTATTGTGATGAATAATACTATCATGTTTTGGCGGTGAAGAGTTGGAGTAGAGCGTGAAGTGTGTCTTGTAGCGTCAAGCGCATTGAGACGTTCTGCTTCTGTGGTCTGTCGATGAYTTGTCCTTTTATTGACATAGGCAGAAACCGTTTCGAATTTGGCTGGAATTCCAGTAATGTAGGCTAACCGCTTGTAAAGAGATTTCACACTTTCTTCTTTGAGTGAGGGTTTCCTTTCGGGCTTTCCTTTCCGTACAGAGCTTGTTGAATATGCGTGTCTACGGAAACACGTCAGATTTAGAGGACGTAAGGCAAATCGCTTATAACCTCACGCCTTCACGATTGAAATTGATCGTAATGACAAACACAGACTGCCCCAGATAGTAGCGTAATGTAAGTCCTTTGTCGGTTAAAATACCTGTTAAGCTCCTTGGATAATACRCACGTGAAAGAATACGAGGCTGCGCTCCACACAAAGGAAGATATCAGAGATGAATGGGCTGATGCGATGGCAGTCTCCGACTCACTTGACTCTCCTTGTGAGGTGTTGAACAGTTCATTACAGGGCCAAAATCCCTTGGGAGAATTAAAGGATAATTAGTGTCAAGGATAGCACGGACTCACAGCCAAACACGGCGATGGAGAAATGTTTGTTCAGCTACTAATGGAGCAAATACAAAAACAACGATCTCCTTGTAGTTCTATACAAATGRTTCTTAAGAAAATTCCCGGTGTGTTCCGGGTCTTAGAGAGGTGTAATCGAGTTTGTTTTTCTGGTCAAAAAACGCTTGACTGACACCAGCTATTTGAGATGTTTTATAACAAAAAGAATTGACCGCTTTTGACAAGAAAATGARGAGTGTTATAACTAAAATTCTTATCTTTGCATGCTCTGTTGGAGCTAGATGAACTCAAACGGAGTCAACCCGCAATGAACAAAACTAAGGCCAACTACTGTATTATGYTCTATGTACGATGAACTCAACTGGTTAATTAACTTACGCAGGCGACAGTACYACCTGTTAAATAATTCATCAATGATACCCATGCACTACATAAAAATTACTCCATTGTGTATAGCATGATTGTTATCTATCAGTACCGTGGTTCATGGACAACTAGTCTCGACGGAGTAATAATGCATTATGCTAGATATTTATAAAGGAAACGAAGCGGATATACAGAGTAGGTCACGTCTTCTGGACTAAGTGACAAAAATTATCTGAAGGCCTTCAGGGGGAGGGCTCTAAAGCATAAGTACTAAGACATCTACGAGTTATTAAGGGATCTAGTTGGTGTAAATACATGCTGTTTTGATGCCGTAGAGTTTAAAAACACATCAAAAACTTAGTAKTTGAATTGCATGACTGGTTCCTAAAATACAAGTAGACGAAGAAAAAAWTTTTTGAAAGACATATGAATGAAAAATGAATAATGACTTAGCTTTATCTTTCAGCCATTTTCTAATGAAGATTGGAATCAAACCATAGCATTCGTAGTGAAGTGAACCATCATTTTTGTAAACTCAATTAGAATTTAAATTGTTTTTATTTTGCCCGAAAATCGATGTCAGTTTGAAAGCGAATGAAGTCACGAAAGTCACAGCCGTGAAAGAAAAAAAGTGGTGTTTTTTAGGGATAAAAATAGACGACTAAATTAYTTGACGCAGGGCCTTTGCTGTGTTGTTCAATAGACAAGTACAAATACATCTAAATAAAAAAACTCAAGAAAATTTGACAGATTTCTTAATGAGGAAGACATTATGTCCACCGGAAATGTTGCAAATGAGATGTTCACTCAACAGGCGACATTGAAATTAACCTAAAACTTATAAAAAAAACAGAACAAACAAATCATTAGACGCAGAAGAACGAGAGGTAATCAAGACTGCGAAATTAGTTATGGCCATAGTACAGGGATTAGGAGAAATTCTTTGCAGGATGCAATTGGAAGGTTTTAAAAAATGAGTTTTGAATGAAAATGAATTTAAAAATTAATTCTCAAAGTGAAAGTAAAAAGACAAAAGAAAAAAATGTAAAGGATTTCATTGATTTTTTTATAACACTTTTCGTATTTGCAAGGATTGGGATAAGGATTTGATGTAATCTCCACTATAATAACGGAAAAAATGCTTTTTTCATRTAAAAGCCGGAGGAATCAATATTTCAAAAATGGATTTCGTAAAAACCTTTTAAATCATTTTAGAAGTAATTTTAAAAATCAAACCGAAAATTTTTAGGAAAATCCCATCTCTCTTTCTCTCTCTCTTTCTCTCTTTCTTCCTTTCTTTTTTAATGTTCCTTACATTTGACTTAAAAGATTCATTCCTCAAATCGTTTACCTCATTTGAAATTGTCAGTTTGGTGTAAAATACTTTTATCAAGAAAAAGCTCTGTGAAGATATACCATCTATACCATCTCTCTTTTTAATTTCTTTCTTTCTTCTCTCTCTCGCTTTTTTAAAATTTCAATTACAGTTGACTTCCAATAATACGTCTTCAGACCATAATCCTATTTAATGCTGTCAARTCGCAGCTTATTTTGGCGTGGTTATTGGAAAAAGAACCAAAATTACTTTCTTATTTCCATTATTTTTTTCGGAAATACTTGTTAAAGTGTAAATGCATATGACAAGTACAAATTTGTTCGTATGTGCATTTTGTGGTACAATTACCAAGTTATTAATTCATTACCTGCTTTTAAACCTCAAAATCGAAGTAACAACTTGTACAAATACCTTCAAAATCAAGTTGAACTATTTGTTTGGTCTAAAAAACAGGGATTATCCTCGAACCAAGTGAAATTCTAACCACAATTTGTACAAATCTCATCAACTCATTCATATGGTCGTGCGGTCTTTGACTTTCAAAGGGTTGTTCTTGAATAATCATTACAATATTCAAGATAGAAATTAAACTACGATAGGTTTATTAAACTTGAAGATTTTTGCATYGTCGGAATCAGTGCACCGCTTTTTTTATCTAGAAGTAATTTATTTTTTGCCTTGCCTGCTTGCTTGCCTTGTTTCGCCTTTGGCGGTGTATCCCATTTTCTTTCAGAACTAAAGCACTTCCTTAAAGAATATTTTTTCACGKTTAAAATACTAAAAACAAAATTAGAATCAATTCTTTAGATTTATCTCAAAAATCTTAGAACTTAATATTTATTTTCTAAAATCAAAGCGATGCAAAAACTGATTTCAAATCGGTGGAAACTTATCTCACCTTTGGTCAAAAACAGTTTGATCAAATTWCGTCCAAGTTTATATTTGCATGAGTGAAAATAATCCTCGCTGACAAACATAACAATTGAATTGCACTTTTCTRTCAAGTGATAATTCAGTCAACTTATCTTAATCTTTTAAAAGGGCACAGAGACAAAACACCGAAACATTTAGAAAATTATGTCAGCAAGGAAACCAACCTCTGATTCATCGATGATTATTAGGTAAATCTTATTTTTATCCTAATTTAAACTGTCGAAAATAATTTTTTAAAGCAGTCTTTATGTCTGTGGAAAGAATGTATAAAATGAATAAACACTTTGAAAGCTTTTGTCTTTTCTTTTTTTGTGTGTCAATAATGGTCGAGTTGAAATTTTTTTACGGGTGTTTATCTCACCTAAGCTGTTTGAAGTTCTATTTTTAAATTCCTTAGGTACAGAAAAAACACTTTCTTGTCAAACCCATCAATTATAGGGCAAAGGACGTAAAACAGAGATAGGTCATCACCCTAAAACAATATGCGTCAAAGTGATGATTAATATTGAAATCTTATCTCACTCTTCTTGTGTCCAAGCGAAATGAAGAGGCGAAAGATAAGAAAGCCATTTCAGTGGCAACAAGAAGTACAAAATCTATTTTAGTCAATGAATGGGAATCGATAGTTTTTCGTACAATGAACAAATTCCATGACTTCCTAATTGTACATCTGGATGTCATGCAAATTGTCACCGATTAAATAAACGAGGAGTTAAAGTTTGCTAATAAAATTATCAACTTGGAGGTAATTCCATTAGTAAGATGGGTATAGTTCAGATTCCTAGAGTTCTCGCTCGTCGCGGGTCAACTAGGTTAACGCCCTTGATGTAATGACTTTATTCTGTTATTATACGAGAATTAGGGAGGTTTTTATTGGCAAATCAGGTGACGTATATTAATTTCTTGGACTTTGCGTAGTGCTTTTAATGTCTGTCTGTCTGTCTTTCTTT